ATTGTTGAAAAAACAATAAGCACAGTTCCAAAAATTTCAGGATCTTTTAAGATTGGTACAAGGTAGTATACAAAAATATTTGAGCAAAAAATTTATTGTCGACCGTCATTTTTTACGATTTTCAAAAATTCAAAATTTGACAAATTTGGCATTTTTCAAAATTTTTTCCCAAAATATTTTTTTTTTAATAGCTCCAAGTGTCCCCTTTCAAACAAATGAAAGATTATTCCTGTATCTATACTAGCGTTCGAGATATTACAAAAACAAAATTGAAAAACTGGAAAAATCGCGAAATTTTGAGTTTGCATATCTTTTGAAAAAAATTTTTTTATTTTTTTTCCTTTGGCAGAACTTCGTTATATGATAAAAGAAAACTTCTGACCAAAATTCGTCCAAATCGAAAGGGGTCGATTCCAACTATTGGTCGATTTGACATAGAATGACCCCGTTTTAAAACATTGCTTTGTAGATATTTTTTTGAAGTTCTGTAGTTTTGTCGCTTCAATAATATATTTATGTTTTCATTGCTCAACAGCCGGAAAAGGAGACGTGAAGAATTGACAGCCGCATCGAATTCAACAGTAGAAGCAGACGAAGCAGAAGAAGTTATCGAAGAATACTATCCACAGGATCTGGATGGAGTAGATGATCATTGTGGAGAACAGGAGGAAATGGATATAACAGAAAGTAACATTCCTTTTTATAATAATCATTTAATTAATTTAAGTAATAGTAATAATCTTAATCAAACAGTAACTCGTGAACCGGCGAGTTTTGTGTGTAACTCAAGCCAAGTATATTCTGAGAAATCAGAGGAAAGGAGTAGTCAAGAATCTACGGGTCTTGGTGCATCCGAACTTGTTTTATTTGATAAAAGCAATCAAGTTACACATGCAGTCATTAAAAGTCAAAATAATTTGAATAATATTAGTATCGCTAATGATAATCAAGTATATTCTGAGCAATCAGAAAAAAGGAGTAGTCAAGAACCTACGGGTGTTGATGAATCCAAACTTGAATCAGTCGATGAAAGCGACAAGATTTCACGTGCATGCAATTTGACTAATAGTAGTTCGAGTAACCTCAATATAGTTACTAATAATGATCAAGTTTGTTTTGAACAATCAGAAGAATTGATTAGTCAAGAATCTACGGATCTTGATGAATCCAAACTCGATTTATTTCATGATAGCAATACAGTTTCTCATAGTCATAAACAAAGCGAAAGTACCTTAACTGTATCACCTGTAGTTGGTACAATTCTAAGCTATCAGAAAAAGAGAACAGTCCCGATCGAGTAAGTCTAGGTAACTCCGAGAGTAGTATATCTGGGATTAATATTAATGATCGTGAAGACTCCGAACAATCAGAGATATCAAGTGATTCTGAGTTTACAGATTCTGATAAATTTGGGCATGACAAAGCCAATGATGATATATTTTCTGAATATTCTTTTTCATCCAGCGTTTCCGATCATGATGATGTTGAATTTGAATCAAATTTTGTTGATAATGATTCGGATAATGATTTGGAACAAGAATCTGAAAAGTCTCCAGAAAATTCATCATCCCCATTGCAAAATTGTGATTCCCATAACGATGCCCAAAATAACACTGAAGCATCATCTTCCGAAAAACCAACAGACATTGAGTCTATTATAAGCGGTTGTCGAATAGTTGAACTCGCTCATTTTATAAAAGAGTTTACAAAGTTAGGTGATTCTAAGAATCATCTACCTAATTGTGCTAGACAAGGGGAAAACTTCCATTGTTTTAGAAAGTTAGATGTCGGCTTAAATACTTTATTGTACTGGAAGTGTCTCGAATGTAAAATGATTGCTACATTTTGGACAAATCCAGTAAAACAAGAAAATAAATTCGATATCAATGAAACTGCCGCCATAAGCGTTATTGGTTCTGCAAGTTCTTTCGCAGCATTTCAGACTATTTTGGCTGTGTTTAATATACCGTGCATTACAAATAAAACTTACGAAAAACATCGAAAGAAACTAGTTGAACCTCTTCGAAACGTTCTTGCTGAAGAAATGCATAAAAATGCCTTAGAAGAAGCCCAAATTGCCATCAAAAATGGTGATGTTACCCCCGATGGTATTCCTCTCGTAAAAGTTATAACTGATGGCGTCTATGATAAACGAAGTTATAGAGGAGGCAAACACGATTCTCTTGGAGCTTCAGTTGCAGTTATTGGTTGCGCTACTCAGAAAGTTATTGATGTCGAAGTAGTTAATAAATATTGTTATACTTGCCGTGTCCATCAAAACCGTAATTGTGAGCCGCCAGCTCATAAATGCTTCATGAATTACGATAGAAAAAAAAGCTCCTCAAGCATGGAACCACATGCGACAGCTATATTATTCAATCGTAGTTTAAAACTTCATGGAATAATTTATTCTGTCATGGTTTCTGATGATGATAGTTCTACGTTAAAAGTAGTGAAGGAATCGAAGCCTTATGAGAAGTATAATATTGAAGTAGAGAGAATCAAGTGTTCTTTTCATATATTTCGTTCCGTAGGAACAAAAATTAGAGAAGCCGCAAAAGCTCGAGTTCCGAATCGACGAGTTCCTGCTGCTGTACGCAATAGAATAAAATACAGTGGATTAAAAATTCGTCGGACAATTACAGCGGATATTGAGCGTTTAAGAAAAGATTTTGAATCTGAAAGTCTTTCAAAAGCAGAAAAACAGAAAATTTTTGAAGAAAATACAGAAGTATTGCGAAAAAATATACTACTTGCTCCTTTACATGTTTTTGGCGACCATGCTCAGTGTCCTACTGAATGGTCGTGTGATAAATCTAAATCAAATCATTTACCCAAAATAAAAGAATATGGTTTATATTCGCGTATTGAAAAAATCATCACTGATCTGAGTCAAAATGCCATACATTTATTACATTTTCTAAATACTAATAAAATTGAGCAATATCATGGAGTGTTAGCAAAATACTTCTCTGGTAAAAGAATTCAATACGGTGGTGCCGATGAATTTCATGACAGAGTTTACATGGGCACTCTTGACCAAATTACTTCCGGTGCTCACTTGTCAACATTCTATAAATTTGTCAAAAAAAGTGTTCCTGAAAGAATTGTAAAATTGGAAAAAGAACGAAATTCTCAAAGGCAGATTAATACAAAGTGTCGTGAAATTAACAAACAACAGAAAAAAAATAGGCGTACGTATCATGGTCCTGATAAAGATTATGGTTCCAATGCAGCTCAGCCTGATCTTTGTGAAACAGACCCTGTTAACTATCAGCAATACAAAGAAGATCATCATGACAAGCTCCGTGAACGTCAAAGAAATCGAAATAGTCTTGAAGTTGAAACGAGAAATCATCCATTCGGAGTACCACACGGTTATGAAAAAGACATGATTCCTTCTTACATGTTTGGCAAAATTTGCCGTATGTTGGAAACGACTTCATGCATACCAGTCATCAATGATATATATAATCCTGTCATGTATGATGACGATGTATTGCTATCTATGGAAAACCATAGAGTGAAAGCTCTCCAATTATTAGAATCCAAAATCAGTCATAAAATTGAACGTTGTGGTATATTTGTTTCTGATGATGTAGAAAGTTTCTATTTATGCGCAAGGCCTGACGGACTTGTTAATGATGATTCGATAGTTATTGTTGTTAATCTATCTGATGATGAGCAAATTGACGTTGAAACAGCATTGAAAAATAATCGGAATATGAATAATTTATTCGATAAAAAAGCTGCCAACAACATCAACAAAAATCATCCGATTTATTACATAATCCAAGGTCAGCTTCATGTAACTAACAGACAATTTTGTTATTTTGCTGTTTTCACACCAAATCATTTAAAAATTTCTGAATTAGTTAGTAAAGATGATGATTTTTGGGAGAATAAAATAAAGAATAAGTTGAATAAATTTTACTATTCAGCTTTAATTGATGAAATTGTTGACAGCAGATTAGCACGAAGTATGCCTATCCGTGAAGCTGCATTTACTATAGAAGCTAGGGCAAAAAAGAGTCAAAAAGATGCTGATAAATTAGCAAAAAAAGCAAAACAACCGAGTGATGCTCAAAATGGTTCTGTAAATTCATCAACTAGTGATCACGATGAAGAGACTCTCAATAATTATCGAGCTTTAGTAGTAAACCGACCAATTGAAGATTTTGCAGATAATATTCTAGAAGACAAAATTTTTTTGGATGACCTTTCTATTTCTCGATTTGTATTGTTGTTAGAAGAGAAAAATTTCACGACTGATTTCCCAGTAACTGCTGTGAACCCTTTGAAACAATCAACTTCGAGTAATGATTTAGTGATCATCGGTGGAGAACACAATTTCCTACATTGGAGTTGTTTGTACTTTGATGGACACTATGTTGCTATTTATGATAGCTTGAACAGAAGCTTTGACGACTTGTCTGATTTCGAAAAGAAATATCTGCAAGTCCGATATCCACACCAGTTAAAAGAGAAAAAAGTTATTTTGAAATTGGTAACTCAACAGCCTGATGGTAGTACGTGTGGGGTATATGCTGCAGCATTTGCCACATCTATCGCACTGGGTTATGATCCGTGTACCATAAAATATTCTCAAGATAAAATGGCAATGAGAAAGCATTATTATGACATAATATGTCAAAAAAAATTAATACAATTTCCTTGCGCTTCCAATAACTAAGCCTTATGACAAGCGATGGAAATTAATAATTGCCATTCGTATCATGAAGTTATATGATAATATATCTTAATTTTGTTATTAAGAAATTACATTTCTACAACACGCTTTAATAGCCTTACTGATGAGTCCTAAATATCGTGTTAAAGAAAAAATTAAACGAGTCGTTCAAATACGTATATTATATTCGCATGAAAATTATATACACTTAAAAAATTTATTTGAGGAATTAATCTTCTGCATAATGTATTCACAGTACAAATTTATTATTGAACGTAATTGCAAAAGTTCGGTGAAAAATGAGCTTTTGATTTGTTATTTTTTTATAGGCTATCGGACAAAAAAATTCTATATTGATATGAAAAGATAGTTTAAAAAAAAAACTCAATATGCTTATAAATCCTGAATAATTTTGTAGACTCAGTAATTATATTTTTATTTATTATTCTGTGTCGTGAAGAAAAAAATCCTTAAATGTTATAACTTACAACTTACAACTTATAAGATACGTATTTTTCTATGTTAACTTCTATAACCGAAGGTCTAAGGTAGAAAGTGACAAAAAAATTTACTTAAAGTTTTGTAATAATTGTCACAATCGGGACGAAACCTTCCTTTAAAGCTCGATTAAAAATAAAATTTGTTATTTCACTTGTATTGTTACGAATAGTTACTACTTCAGATATCAGTGAGCCATTTAAAGCCAGTCTAGACTTTAAAAAAAATTTCAATTACAAAATTACTAAGACAATTCACCCTTTAGGTCATTCTTGCAACTTGTATATTTTGATTCTCCTGAAAATTTGTAATAAGAAACTACTAAGGGACCTCCATGGCTACTTTTTTTTTCGCTTTTGAAAATTAAGAAAAAAATTTTTTTTCCATTCATCATTAGTAATTCTCATTTTAGTCATTAAATCTATTTTTTTATCATTTTAAAGTGGTTTTTTTTTTGCAATTATACTCTATTAAAGAGTTTTTTAAATTATTAAACAGTCGATTAATCTGTTTATGAATAATTAAAACGAAATTATTTATTTATTTACGGAATTTTTTAAAAAATTTATACATCTGATTGGAATTTCTATTCTCCTATGTTAATGATTTAGATGTTTTCTATTACAGATCAAATTTTTCTCTTCCCATAATATAGTCACTTGCAGGCGAACATTTTAAAACAATGCTAGGTAAAGAACTCAGCTCAGATGCCAACTCATATTTTTCGCATACAAATGACTGTTTCGATTATTTATGAACAGAATCAACGACTAATTAATTATTTCAAAAAGCCTATAATTGCGTAATTGCGTAATTGAGAAAAACTACTTGAAAATGATAGAAAGAATAATATTTGATGACTTAAATCAGAATTACTAATGACGAATGGATACAACTAAATTTTCAAAAACTTAAAAAAACATAGTAGCCATGAAGGTTTCACGACCAAAACAGCCTGAAAACTCGGAGAGTGCATAGTTAAATACACTAGCATCATTCGTCTCGGCGAATTCGGAGCGTAATCTTGAAGATGTGACTTCTGGGTGTTAGAGTCACTTATACTGTCACAAACTGAGCTGATTCATTACGTTTATCGTTGATGATTCATCCGATACCGACATCTACCAATGTCTAGTTAATAGTAAAAGTTACAGCTAAACAAACTTTTAAAGCACTTCAAATTGATCCGAAAGCCGGGCTTGAATACTCTGAAAATGATAAATAAAAAAGAATGTACCATACAGATTCTTTTTGTTCATGCGATTATCATTCTTTTGATGTAGGTATGATGTGATAGATAACATCGACTTCACAAACAGTTTATTAAAAATGTGATTTCAATAAACAGGCGATACTCCAAAAGCTTATTTAGGTATCAGCAAAGGAACTTTTTTTATTCCCAACTATTTAAAAGTAGGTTCCGATTTATTTCGAATTTTAGAAACGATTTTTAAATATATTGAATCTGAACAATTGCTTAAATAAAAGTTTAATTTAGTTCAAATTTAATTTGATTTTGAGTTTAATTTTTATAGTAAATTGTAAGTTTAATTTATTATTATTGTAATTATAATTAGTATCATTTTCTAATTATAATAAGTCATCTCTTGTATTCAAAGCTTGAGAGTACTTGTTATTTTTATGAATAGCTGCTACACACATTGGATGATGCCCCGGGTAAAAAAATTTATATATAATTATATATATTTATATGTATTATTATACATTATTTATATATAATTATATATTACTGACATATAATTATATGTAATTATATATAATATATAATTGGATGCAGTATTTTTTAATAATTATATATAATCATAAGAATATAATCATTAAGAATCATTAAAAATATAATTTAAACATTCGATACTTGACTTAGAGTAAAAAATTCATTTTTATGAAATTAGTTATTGATTATTTTTCTTCCGAAGTTGACAGAACTGCTATAAGAACACTTATACATTGAAAATAATGAAAAGTAGTAGCTACAATAATTACGCGATTAAAAAGACTGGTCATTTCCATGTTACAGCGACCAATAATTAGAATCAACCTCTTTCAATTTGAACGAAATTTGATCAAAATTTTTCTCCTATCATAAAACAAGGAATTGCAAAAGAAAAAAAATTTTTATAATTTTTTTGGAGTCATTCAAAATTAAAAATTTTATCATTTTTTCAAGTTTTAAACTTTATTTTTTAAATATCTTCAAAAGTATTATTGATACAGAAATCTAATTTTGTTTGTTTTCAACGGGGCGCTTTGGGTTATAGAGAAAAATTTTTTTTAAAAATAAATTTGAAGAATGAAAAATTTGTGGACTTATGAATCATTAGAAATCGGCAAAATTAAATTTCGTCTCGAAATTTTAGGCTCAATTTATTTTGTAGACTTCTTCTATCTGTTCTTAAAAGACCCTAAAATTTTCACAGCTGCGTTTTAATTTTTTTTTTAAAGATATGAATTTTTGAATTTTGCTAAGAAAATTTTTTTTTAAGTTAAGCTTATTTTTTGTAACACGATACTCCAAAAATTTATAAGAATATTCAAGGGGCCTTAGAAATTATAATAAAGAATTAAAATATATGGAAAGAAAGTGGTAATCATCGAAAAAATTTTGATTTTTTTTAAAAAGTAAAAAAAAAAACTAGAAGACAACTTGGAATCATTTTTTTTACAGAAACTCAATTTAACAAGGAAAATAGCAAACGAAAAATTTTTTTAATATCGTCATTATTTACAAAACCATGAGGTTTTAAAATGAACATCTAACGCTTTTGATTTCGGATGAAACATTTTTCAATTTTCAAAACCTGAAGATTTTTTCGCTTGGAAATGTTGCTAGAGGACCTACAGATGATGAGACTTTTAAAATGATAGAATTAGCAATTGTAATTACAAGACAGAGAGCTAATGATGATCTCAGCCACATTGAGACGACCATAAATTAGTCAAGCTTCGATTGATAGAATTTTGGTGCAATAAAAGGTAATTTTATATTTATTCCACATTTATCAATTAATATTATAATTTTATATAAACCTGTCAAATTGATTGACAAAAAAATAAAAAAATTTCAGACATTACATGGAGTTTTCATTCGACATTAAAAAAAAAAAAAAAAAAAAGAAGAACAAAAAGGCAGTCAGCAAGGGCTAAAGAAATTGAGGAACTGTAGGATGCACAGCTTCGAGATTCAGCGACGCCCTTGTTCGATCAAACCACCCGAGAAAAAGTAAAGCAAATCATTGAAGATCTACGTTCAGCAGATCTATGTACATGTAAATTGTGGCGTAGAATAGATATAATGAGACATATGAAAATCTAAACTGTAAAGCACATTATTGTTTCAAATGTAATTTACACATCAATCATACTAGAGTGTGCTCCCATGAAAAAAATGTAAAAAAATATATATCGAAATATAAAAAAAAATATATTTTAAATATATTAAAAATATGTATAGTAAATATATTTTTAATAACTAACTGTTCGCCGATTTTCATATATATTTTATATATTTTAGATATATTTAAAATATATCTTAAAATACATACCTAAAAATATGAAAAAAAAATATTTTGGATATATCTAAAATATATTTGAATATATCTAAAATATATTTGAAATATATAAAATATATATGAAAATCGGCCAAAAGTTAGTTATTAAAAATATATTCATTATACATATTTTATATATATTTATATATTTTTTATAGATTTTTTATATATTGAAAATATATTTTTTATGTATTCCGACTTATATTTTTTTTTTTTCATGGGGGTCAAAATTCAATTTCCGTGAAGAATCTTTTAATATCAGAATTTTGAGTTCTGTTTTAAATAGGAGCTGTATTTAGAGATTTCTTGAGATATTTTAGGTTGAAATGTTCGTATTTGATTATCATAGAATTTTTAACAGAAGCTATGCTCGGACACTTCCGGCCGTGAGATGATATTTTCACAGCGGCTGGAAAAAAATTATGAAAATTCTATAAATATCAAATACGAACGTCTCAACCCAAAACATCTTAGGAAATACCCACAAAAAAAGCTTCTGTTACAAGCGGGACTCAAAATTCTACTTTTAAAAGGTTCTTCACGAAAAATGAATTTTGGCACACCCTAGGATATAAATTAGGGAGGAAGTCATTGATCTTTCGAATCCGCAACAGTGTGATCAACGGTGCGTGTAACTGATGCGTAGCATGGAGAATCGATGATAGGTCTTCCTACGTGGATGAAAGTCAAAACAACGAAATAAGAGATAAGGCATTGCGCTAAGCAATTCCAGTTTGGATTAGCAATTATCCGCAAGTACACAGAAGCTTTCGACTTGTATTTCTGTAACTTGAACACTTCGAGCTATCTGTTTAAAAAGTTATGCAGCTTAATTTCTACCCTGCTTGAACAAAAACTTCCTATTGACCTGCATGAAAATTTCTATGCAATCTAGTTTGTAAATGAAAAATTGATTTATGTGACATCTGACTACTCAAATGATGAATGACTTTCACGCTAATAATGTCCATATTATCAGAGCAATTTTTTTTATAGAGTAATTTTATTTTATTTTAACTTTTTCTAAGAACCGCATTTGATTAGATTATCATAATTTGATTTATAATTTTTATTTTTTTAGGTGACAGGAGTTTCAACGAGTCTAGTTTTAGTCTGAGTGCACTTCACAGGTAACTGGCATTATTTGTAACGTTTCGTAGACAGACGAAAAACAAAAAAATTGTCAAGTGGAACTACAAAAAAGCTGAGCTATTATTTATGGTAATCATTAGATTAAAAATTTCAAGAAACTGCTGAACGCCTCGCAATTAAAATTTTAGTAAACTCTGAAAATAACTATCCTCTTCAAGTTATTGACATATTTTCTGAAATGTTTTAAAAACTAATTTATTGTTATTATATGAAAATTGTTATAAATGTAAATTTTTTTTTAAATAAAAGAATTCTTAAAATATTAATAAAATATTATCTTATTTTTTGAAAAGTTGGTCTTTTTATTTTGCTTCAATTATTTTAATTATCAGTGTTTTGGCATAAAAATTAACGTTAAACATACAAAATTATTCGACATTAAAAAATAATAAAAATTTAAATGATTAAAAATGGCTTAGTTTTATTTTTATTCCAAATAAAGTAAAAAAATCGAAAATTAATAAATTTTTAAGAATTTAGCAACTTAGATTTTAAATAATTTATCTATTTTTATTGTAATTCTTTATGATGTTCGGTTCTGTCAAAGAAGGGAATCACTTAAAATATTTGAATTAAAAATTACTATAATGATTGGCAGTTATAAATATTATTCTAATATACATTTTATACCTAAGGAATATAGTATAATTTTTATTTAAACATTTATTTTAACATTTTCCATTCAACATCAACTTTTTTCACATGCATATTAACGGATAAATTTTGAGATTCTAATTGTTCATTTTACAAATAAATGATATTCAGTGGGTAAAATAATACATTTGAGTGTAGTTCATTGAGTTACATGTATCCATAAATGTTATATAAAAACAATTATTCGATTCAATTATGTACACATGCGTATACACGTTGGATACAAGATAAATAATAAAATAATGCAATCTTCTAGAAATTATTGTTTAGTTTTAGTTGATAATTTAAAAAATAATTAAAAAAACGAATGGTATAATCTCGACCAGTATTTTCAATTTATAATTGCACAGATAAAATAATAATCATAAATTCTTATTTGTAAGAAAAAAAATTTTTTTGTGTGTCCCTCTGGTGGTCAAGTGATGTAAAATCACTTAAACTGCGTCTACCGTTATTACTACGTCGCTTCACTTGATTTTTCTTTTAATAAAAGAAAAATTTTCATAATTAAAAAATTTTATATAATTTAAATAATTGGCAAATTGGGTGATTCATTGATTTATTTTGGTAAGTATAAATTTTCATAACGTATTGATAATACTTATTTAAGGTATTATAAAATTTGGTCTAATGTATATAACCTTATTTTCACTGTCAGCTGTTGTGATTCTTGAAATTTATTCACCGTTAATAACGTCAAGTAATAAAACAATAATTATTTGCATTACAGTAAAGATAATAGTTATAATTAATGTTTATAGTCAAAATTAAAAATAATAATAATAAAAATAATCGAATAACGAGAATAACAATTTTAAGTTTTAGTAAGTATTATTTTCTGTTACAGGAAGCTGTGACTGAATTAAACAATGAACCCTTATAATAGGACAGGAAAAGGTAATTAAATCAACATTTTATGCTTTAAATCAAAATATTTTCTCTATTATAATTTTAATTTTTGTTTAAGGGCGTGGAAAACGTCAAATGAGGAGTGTTCCTCGTCCATCTCAAATTAGGCAATCTCCTCGTACTAATGCGAGACACCCCCGCCTCCAGTGCGGCTTCAAGCACAAGGTGGGCCACCGCAACAAGCTCATGGTGGCAATGTTGTTCAGCCGCAAGAGCAAGTGCTGCTTCCACCCCCGCCTCCAGTGCGGCTTCAAGCACAAGGTGGGCCACCGCAACAAGCTCATGGTGGCAATGTTGTTCAGCCGCAAGAGCAAGTGCTGCTTCCACCCCCGCCTCCAGTGCGGCTTCAAGCACAAGGTGGGCCACCGCAACAAGCTCATGGTGGCAATGTTGTTCAGCCGCAAGAGCAAGTGCTGCTTCCACCCCCGCCTCCAGTGCGGCTTCAAGCACAAGGTGGGCCACCGCAACAAGCTCATGGTGGCAATGTTGTTCAGCCGCAAGAGCAAGTGCTGCTTCCACCCCCGCCTCCAGTGCGGCTTCAAGCACAAGGTGGGCCACCGCAACAAGCTCATGGTGGCAATGTTGTTCAGCCGCAAGAGCAAGTGCTGCTTCCACCCCCGCCTCCAGTGCGGCTTCAAGCACAAGGTGGGCCACCGCAACAAGCTCATGGTGGCAATGTTGTTCAGCCGCAAGAGCAAGTGCTGCTTCCACCCCCGCCTCCAGTGCGGCCTCAAGCACAAGGTGGGCCACCGCAACAAGCTCATGATGGCAATGCAATTCAGCAGCAAGAGCTAGTGGTGCTTCCACCGCCACCTCCAGTGCTGCCTCAAAGACAAGAGCCGCCGCAACAAATTCATGGTGATAATGCACCTCAGCTACAAGAGCAAGCGTCAAATGCGCCGTTGCAAAAAGGTCGCCCAGTAGATCAAGTTCAGAAGAATCTGAAACCTGCAGCTATTCCGGCATTGCCTTTTAAATCATTTAATTTATCAAATCGGTCCATTAAAACTATAAGGCAATTTAATCGGAGTATAGAGATTTTTCAGACTCAAACAGTGAAAAAAATTCACGAAGAAGAGGAAATTAAAAAAAAAAAACAAATGGAAGAGAAGGATCATCGAGAAACTGTGCCAAATACTTCACCACCTGAAAGCAAGCGTGAAGGTGCACCGTATCCATCGTCTCAACATGTTCCTCCCTTCTCCGACTATCGTCAATACTACCCTGTTCAACCTCATTATGGTTTGCCATCTGTTCCTAACTATCTTGTATTACCGGTTCCTACGCCATCAGTTCCGCACAACCAAGTGCCACCAGTTCCGCAGTACCCGACGTCAGCAATTCTGCAGTACCAGGTACCATCAGTTCCGCAGTACCAGGTACCATCAGTTCCGCAGTACCAGGTACCATCAGTTCCGCAGTACCAGATGCCACCAGTTCCACAGTACCCGACGCCACAGTTCTCTCAATATCCACCCATGGCTTACAATCCTACATACGGTTATCCACCTCAATACTATCCCCCGCGATACTATTAATTTTCTTATATAAATACAATTATCTACCTCTATATTATTCCCCTCGGTAATATTAATTTCTCATAAAAATTATGAATCATTTTAATTGATTTTAATTAAAATAATGAGATTAATCGTTTTAAAAACTCTTCAATAAAGTTTGAAAGCCCATATTTTCATTCACTTATTTAAAGTCATTTTAATATAATGTCTGCTTAGCAGTAATTAAAATATTTCATATTAAATTTTTACATTAAACTTTTTCACTGTAACGTTTTTTTAATTTTTTTACTTGATTATTACTTAATATTGATGTAATACAATTTCAATAAAAACTGGAAAAATAATAAAAGTTTAGCAATTATTTTATTTATTATTAGTTACAGAATAAAATATTTGCAGCAATCATAAATAGAAAAAAATTTTATTAGACTCTTCATTTATAAATAAATATAGTAAACTGAAATGTAGTCAGTTAAATAAATCAGAAAGTAACAAAAAAGTCGATTTTTTTTATTTAGTCTCGGCTCTAATTTTTTTGGCCGCAATTTTTCACTCGCCAACTCCATTTTTCAATGTCTACGTGAAGTATACCACTGACATGTAATAAGTTTATATATATTGTGCAGTAAATATAAAAACTGAAGCTGTTAATTAGTTATCAATGAATTCAGTAAAATAATATACTTTGAGAGAATTTGACGTTTTTTTATTACAAATTTTTTTATTACAAATTAAACTCATATTTAGTTTTTATTGTTAGTAATTAAAATTCATTTTAATAAATGATAAATTGACAATTTCTCAACTCCTTTGAAAATTAATTATTGAAAGAAGGGGCTACATAATTCTAGATTTGTATGAGCAGTTAGAAAACAATGGCTTAGTACTTTAATCATACATAGAGGTCATTTCAAGAGATTAATTTGCATTCTTTCTATTATTTTCATAAATGAATTACTTAATAAAACATAGTTTCAAAGATTACTATGGTAATAAACACTAAATAAAATTAGGAATGCGTATTGTAAATTTTTAAATGATTTTTTTTATTAGTAAAAGACTGCGAATATTCTTAGATAAAATTATCAATTTAATTGCGTGTTAGTGAAAGATTGAATTTTATATAAATAAATTAACAATGGATTATTGAAAGTGAAAGAAATAAATCGTATGGATTTAAATGATGATTTATAAATTCTTATTATGCTCTGTTCCTATTTAATTGATGTTATGGACAAAAAAAAGTTTGAAGTATGTATTAATAATTGCAAATTAATTTTTTTTGTTAGCCCGATAGATTGGAAAATACCAAAGAGCACTTTTTCGATTTATTCAGGATTTTTTTTTGTATTATTTAATCAACAAATAGTAACTAACAATATTGAAATATAAGACATCAACTATATGCTTTTGTAACGATCATGGACATACTGAAAAATGAAATTCTTTTTGTAAATATTATTCTTTTTGTAATTATAAAGTTTCCAAGTGACTTTCAACAACTATATTAATTGAAAAATAATCAGCTGAATATTGGAGTGTATTAGCGGGTTTCATCAATATATTTGCGGATGTACATAGTCGAAGTTTTAAATAAGAAACGCTTCAAATATCCCGCGCACATTCTTGTAATACAACACTGGCGCTAATATACATTTGCGAGTGAATAGTGAACTAACGGTCACATGTGAACTAAGAAGAAAGAGGGCGATTAACAAAGCACAAAGAACGTAACCTTCCAGTGTGTGATGATGTCTTATTTGTAAATAAATTTCTTAGAATCAATTTATTTTCTAATTATATAACAATTAAATACAGTGATAATAACTATACACTCGTGAATAATTATTTATTACTGGAGGTAAATTTCAATGTAAATTGTGGTTAATAGTGGCAGTG